CTCTTACTGCCTGCTGCTCCCAGCCGTGTCCGGCTGGGTCTTGACATGAACTTTTGGTGCTGGTTCAGTCCTTGGTGGTCTTGCCTCCTTCCCACCCAGTACCTTCTCCCAGTGCCCTTCAGACGTGGGTGGGAGATCACCTGGCCACCAGATGCGGTAAGGAGAGACCTGCCGAGTCCCAGATGTGGGGCGGATCCCACTTGGCTCTGCTGAGCCTGTGCCCCACAGATGGCTACAGGATGGGCCAGCAAGCTGTCTTTGGGATTTGGGCTGGTGGATCCACCTGCAAGGGTGGTTGTGGGTCTCCTGGTCATGTTGGTCTTCTCGCCCCACGGCTTCCCAACTTCCTTCCATTTCAGCCCTCGAGACAGCACTGGGGCAGCTCTGGCCTCTTTGTAAGGCTGTTCCTGGCTGTGGGTCGTGAGGTTGTGATTTGATTTCGGGGTTGAGCCTGTCCCTGAACGTCCTCTGTAGCGCAGCCGGTGGTGGACACGTTTCAACAGGTTCCCGTTGTGGGATCTCATTTGTCCACGTGTCCCTGGGGTGGCAGGGAGGGGTTGTCCAAGCAATTGATGGAGATTTGGGGTTGCATTCAACTGCTGAGGCCATCAGAGGTGATCTGGGGTACCCAGTTGGCCTTTAGCTCCTCTTCCAGGAGAGCTTGCATCTTTTATAGTCCCTATATCCCACATGCCAGCCCTGCCAGGAGTGTCAGGGGTGACTGAAGGCATCTCAGGTGGCACTGGGTAGGTGGTAGCCAGACTCTGTGCTCTCATGGTTGGGCAATCCCCATCCTGCCCTGTGGGAGGTTTACCTTCCTGAGCTGCTGCACTTCTGATGGGGGGAGAGGACCATCTCGGGTGGTTCAAGCCCCAGCGTGGTTGCTCCCGGAGATGCCTGTGTTGGAGTTAAGGCTTTTCTGATGTGCTGGGATCATGCATTGCATGATCACCAAGCGATGGTGGTCACCAAGCAATGGATAAGGTCACCAACCGATGACCTTATGGCCAACAGCAGCTTGGTAATTGGCCAGGAAAAGGATGGCTTTACTGCTGGAGGCATTTATTTCACGTTTTGTGCTGCTTGGATGTCCTGCAGACCCCCTGCTCCCCTCTTGGCACTGCCCAGCTTTTCCAGTCCATCTCGAGATGTTTCCTCCAGCACCTGCTGAGCTCCTGGAGTTTCTCAGGGGGGATCTAGGGTACAGCTTCACCTGGGGTGAGGAGCATGGGGGCTCGCATGGAGGGCTTTCAGCTTATTTCTGAATGTGATGGACTCCAAGGAGCTCCTAATCTGGGGACAGTGCTCTCCAGCCCCTCTAAAGCGTCACAGGAAAAAAAGGAGAAATGTAGAAAAACCTTTGGGTTTGGTATGTCATTCGTCCCTGGGGAAGCTGGAGAGAGGGGCAGGCACAGTGTACCCACGTTTGCTTCAGTCTCTGGCAAGGAGGGCATTGGTTGCCTTGGCAGATGCCGTCTCCTGCTGTTGGGACCTCTGCTTGTTGGGCCTTCTGGCCTCCCTCCCGTCATCCCAGGTGCTTTGGGAGCACAGTCCTTAGTTTGTGAGCCTGGTAGACCCCGAGGTGAGGCTGAGACTGGGGTCCTTCTGCACGGGGATGCTTTTAGGCATGGGGTGCCAGTGGAGAACCACGAGCTACCAGGCAAAAGTGTGTCTTGTGCCCTCATGAACCTCAGCGGGGAGGTTCCCCACGGGGATGGTCGCAGGTTGGGGGCACAGGGCAAGGAAAACGGGGCTCCGTGTCTGCCCCAAAATGCATCCAGGGAGGACAGCTGAGTATTTGGGCTTGTGGGCTTTGCAGCTCTGGCACCTGGGGGGACTTACCTCCATCCAAGGTCTGGGGGAAGCTGTGGCAGAGGAGCACAGAAGCAGCTCATGTCCCACCCCACCCCCCAGCACTCACGTGCATCACACCTAGAGGGTTGGGGACCCCCTTTTAATTCATTTGCACCCCTCCTTCTGCTCCTCTGCTCCTTTAGCTCAGCCTTGCACCGGCTGCCAGGTTCATGGGGTTCCTCCTGAGCCACGGGGGCTGCTCAGAGGGTGTGAAGGTGGGTTAAATAAATGTCACCAGACTGGGAGGTGCCCCTTGAGTGGCTGTTTCGGGGCTCCTGATAGAAGTCATTGGTACTGGCTGCCTTGGAAATGTCCTGCCTGTCAGCTGCTGCTTTGCAGTCTTCAGGAAAGCAGATGAGGGAATAAGGGGGAGCCGCGGGAGCCCG